AGAGAGAGAGAGAGAGAGAGAGAGAGAGAGAGAGAGAGAGAGAGAGAGAGAGAGAGAGAGAGAGAGAGAGAGAGAGAGAGAGAGAGAGTCATGGCCTAATGGTTAGAGGTTGGACTTGCAACCCAAAGGTCATGGGTTTGAGTCTCAGGTCCGGCAGGGATTGTAGGTGGGGGGAGTGAATGACCAGCGCTCTCTTCCACCCTCAATACCACAACTGAGGTGAGACCCTTGAGCAAGGCACCGACCCCTGGGCTGCCCAGTGCTCTGTGTGTGTGCACTTGGATGGGTTAAATGCAGAGCACAAATTCCGAGTATGGGTCACCATACTTGGCCACACTTCACTTCACTAACTATATATATACAGTACTGTGCAAACATCTTAGGCACATGCAAAGAAATGCTGTAGAGCAAAGATGCCTTCAAAAATAATGAAATTAAATGTTTCTACATTTAAAAAAAAATACTATAAAGAGCAGTAAACAGTAATAAATGAGACAAAGTCAATATTTGGTGTGACGATCCTTCACTTTTTTTTTTAATTTTTTTTTTAAATAGTAGTCTCAGGTGCAGTGTGTGCAGTTTTATAAGGAAATGAGCTGTAAGTGTTACTGAGCATCTTGCAGAAGCAGCCACAGTTCTTCTGGAGACTTTGACTGTCGACTCACTTCTTATTTTTGCAGCAAAACCCAGCAGCCTTCATTATGTTTTTTTGTCTGAAAAGTGTCTCTTATGTAATCTGCTGCTTTCTTTACTGACATACAAACATTTTTCTGTAACATTTAATTTTGTGCTGGAAAACTAATGTTCGGAATCTAAACTGTCAATAATGTAAAAGTCATAAAATAAAAATCTATAACAAATTTTGTACTAAAAAAAAAGGAAGCCTAAGACTTTTGCACAGTACTATATATGTATATATATATATATATATATATATATAGAGAGAGAGAGAGAGAGAGAGAGAGAGAGTTCTATATAGTTACAAACAGAAGAACCAGAAAATTACTACAAACAGAAATAAATCAACAAATCTAGAAAAGAAAATTAAAAAAAAAAAACTACATTATAAATAGCAATAATAAAGACAAGACAAAGTAAATAAAATAATAATAATAAAAATGTATTGATAAGAAATATAGTGTTATTATACTAGTGCCAAAGTTATAAAGTTATTAGTGACCAGAGAAAAGTGCACTTTAAAAAATTTGTGATAAGAAATCTAGTGTTATTATGCTAATTCCAAAGCTATAAAGTTATTAGTGACAAGAGTAAAGTGCACCTTCCAGATTTTAGTGTTTTCTCTACTTCCAACACATCTGATTCAACTAATCAGCTAATTAACAGGCCTCCCTGAGTGAAAGTGGGTGTGTTAGAGCAGGGAAATGCTAAAATTTTAGAAAAGAGGGTGCTCCAGGACCAGGGCTGGTCAAGTTGGTCAAGTCAAGTGTGATAGCCTCTCAGCTTAATTCTGTTTGATGCTATGTCTTTATTAATGTTGTTCTGCCTCACTAAAATGTATAGTCACGAGCCAGTGATGCTATAATATTGAGTATAGACTATGTGCTTGAGGACAGACTGTTGTTACTGACCGTCTGCTCATGTTCTGCACTGACATTCTCAGTCACCTGAAGAACAATTGCTCTTCTGTTCTTTACTTACACATCACACTAATGCGTGAGCATCATGGTCATTGTCTGTGCACTTTTCCACAATTTCTAACCCTGTTTACTGATAATTCTAGATCTAAACGCAGATGTCACTTTAGACACTGTTCATATTGAAAAACAGCCAGTTGAGGTATGTTTGTGACTGAAGTTCCTGGCATGCATTCCCCATGCGAAATTTGCATACGTGACAATTACCCACAACTATATTATAACTGATGTGCCAAATGATCCACAGTGTGCCAGTCATACCAGTCAAAGCAATTAATCTAGGTCTGAAACATTTGCAAGCTGGAGCTGAGAACGAAAAAAGACTACTTTGGATTAATTGTTTCGATTTACATAGCATCAGTGCTTAAGGGATAAGCCATACAAGGATAAATAAGGGCACTGAAACCGTTCTGAGTAATCCATAAATAACTGGACTCCGACTTAACTAAATCTATTCAAATACAATCATTAAAAAGGACCATAATACAGTAGTGTACATGACTTAAGGTGTAGAGAGTATGTATTAGAGCTGTAGCTGGAGATGGAGGATGGTTGAACTTTTTATGACAGTTCCAAATGCTTCTTTTGGATGGTTAACATAACACACATACAGAGCAGCTGGTTATATATGGTTATATATTCATCAATTAATAGTGTTGGCACAGTAAAAAGGTATAATAATAGTCATAAAAGGTCTATGAAGCCATCATTCTATATTTAATGAACGCTGACATCAAATGAATACATCCCTTAGTTTGTTAAATCATATTTTACAAGGTGCTGTGGTGAGAAACATGATTAACCAATCAGGATCATGCATTTTCCCATTTCTGTTTGAAAGATACTAGCCAGCTAGTTGTAGCATCATCAAGGTGATGACTGATGTACTGGAGGTCTACTGCAAGAGGAGGAAAAAGAAGGGTAGATCTGGTTTTATAAAGTAAAAACCTTCTCTCTTTTTGCATCTAGTCTACCCCAACTGCTGTCATAAATAGCTCTTTGTGAAAACAATACCAGCCTGGTTCCATTTGGTTATCTAGGGCAATGGTAAATTAGGGAGTCCACAGTATGCTCATGGGTATAAAAAGATTGCAACTCAAAAGTTTGAAAAGAAACATCTCCCGCATACTGCACAAGAAAGACTATCTTTTTATCTGTCTGCTGCCATTCCTCCTGCGTCCTATATGCTTGCTTGAGGTCTGTTCATCCACTGGTCTTGTAATTTCATTTTTAAATTCTACTTATTGTTTGTGTTTTTGATTCCATTTTGACATTAATGGATTTCTTTTCTTAAGCAGTCTGTTGACTTTTTTATATAGGACATTGAACAAATGCCCAGACAGAGTTGAGTATAATGTGCTGCTAGACACGTTTAAATGAACCTCTGACTCTAAAGTTTACTGCTTGCAGGTTTAAAATAAATCCAAGGGGGGAATTTAAGTTGTGTGACACAAAAAAGCCTCATAACCTTTCATCCCAACCTCTCAGTCACAAATCTCATCTCTCTTTACTCATCCCAACTCCTCTCATATTCATCCCAACCTACGCTTTTGTAGTCATCCTCACATGCACTGTCATCTCTAGGTCCTATCCAGGACAATTCATATAGTTTAACTCCGAATCCTGTGGCCATGTCCACACATCCCTTCCCCTCAAAATCATTTCATTAGCTTCTTTTGGGATCCGTGAGCTTCTCATGGATCGCTTGCAGAAATGAGGTTTTGCTGAAATCACCCTCTTGAGTCAGAAGGTTGAATGGACAGGTAGGGTTGAATGAACAAGTAAAGTCACATGAATCCTCTGATAATTAATTGATCATTCACATTGTCAATAAGGTCACTCCAAAAAGGACATTAATGACCCTAATACCATACTTTCAGTACCACATTCAAATTTGAGCTTTCATGCTTCTACCCTCGGTTGGCTGTCTGTCTGTCTGGCTGTGTTTAACTTCAATATAAATTGTTTTCCATTCCGCCTCCTCCAGGTACTAGCAGTGGCAGGAACATGGGCCTAACCTGTCCAACAACCTGACTGTACCCCAGACAAAATACTGCATGCACCAGGATCCTTTTTAGCCTCTAATTAATAAATTTATCCTGGACTTTGGATGTGCATGGTAAAATGGAAATAGGCCTATAATTTAGATCAGTTTGATCACCACCTATAAGGAGAGGATGGACAATGCCTACTTTCCAACTGGCATCTGTGCAGTACAGATTGATGCAATAAAAAGATTTTTAATAGGACCTGCAATGATTTAAGAAATGTATCTAACACATCTGACGCAGCTGGCATTTTAGGGTCTAACATAAGAAGACTTCATCTTTAAAGATGACCAAAAAGGGGCTGTAACCGAGCTGAAATATGAGCTTGTCTAGACTTCATGAAGTGTTGACTGAAAATGTCGACAGTATGATCTCTATTAGTAACCGAAACATCATCCAGTCTGACTGACAAAGGTGTAGTTGAAGATTTGTTTTCTAATGTTTTTTCTAATAGCCTTGTTTTCTAATAGAGTTCCAAAACTTCTGTGGATCAGAACCACAGAGTCTTAACCACTTTTTCAAGTAAGTAGCTTTAGACTGATGTGCTTCCTGTGATTTACACCAAGCCATTTCTTTATGCCTTCATTGGTTTGTTGTAACCCTGACCCCAAGTCATGAGAGAACCAAAGACTTGTTGTGGTTCTTCTTCTTCTATCTGCTCCCATTAGGGGTTATCACAGCGGTCTGCATATTTGATTTGGCACATTTTCTACACCGGATGCCCTTCCTAATGCAACCCTCCCCAATTTTATCCAGGCTTGGTTCGTGTGCAGCCCCAGTGGCTGGGGTCGGGTCCCTGGCCAGGAATCAAACCTGGGCTGTGGCGGTGAGAGCGACGTGGCCTAACCACTAGTCCACTAATGCATTTTTATTTATTTTAATTGGTGCATGCTTATTAACAGTTCATTATTGCATGTTATTACATTAATAACAGAATATAAATACATGTTCTTCTGAGTATCATTCACAGTGGGGACCAATGTGACTCTGTGTCATTTGACTTCAACCAGGTCATGTATATAAAAAAAAAAAGCCTGATTACTCAAGGTTTTTTTTCAATACTTTACTGATTATACCATATAGTTTTATAAAATGGCTTTTGCAAATACATTCTACAAAACAATGGTGAGATCATAACAAAATGCACTAGAATAATATATATGGAGTTTGTAAACACCGTATCAATCAGAGTAGCCTCTGGGGCATTGGGATCACGTCTGGTAGGATGAGATATAATTTGTTGAAGATTCAAAGAGTCAATTTTTTAGTTACTTTCTCAGATGGGTTAAGCATATCAAAATTAAGTTTACCTAATAAAACAAACTGATGGAAGGCTGGTACCCAGCTACTGACAAAAAATTAAAATAAAAATAAAATGCTATTAAGAAGCATTAACTCAAACTGTTTGGGAATGGACTTTGCTAGAACAACTGAGCACTGAAGATGTTCTTTAAGGAAAAAAACAGCCACCTCTCCACCCTTAGACAACCTATCTTCCTGAAACAGCATTATATACATGAGTCTAAGCAACAGACTTATGCAACCATTGATGTTTCTTTGACCATAAAGACCTCCGGATTAGAATTTCAACCCATAATTTACACTCATCTATTTTAGGATGAGGCTCTTGTACTGATACATAAAAACCTCAGTATTTGGGACACCAACATCAGTGAAAGGACCAGGGTGGACATAAACAATATCAGAGAGCATAAGCAATAAAGCAAAAGAACAGATGGAACACTAGATTGTGGTTTAATAATAATTTCTAAAAAGGGCAGTGTGAATTGTAGTCATTTGTCATTACATAGAAACAGCCATACATTTTAACAATCTGATTTGGCCTTTATTTTTTCCTTGGTCTGTGATGGAATAAATTTAGCTTTAATTGTACTAATAACACCTCTCATCTCTATATTTGGACACAATCTCATTTTTAGGACATTTGAATATTCGCATTAAAACATGCTTCTAGACTGGTAAGTGGTCCATTGTTTATACCTTCTTATAGGTGAGGGTGGATACAGTGTTCCCAAAGGTCACTGTCTGCAAAATACAAAGAAAAATATATTACTACATGCTACTGAACAGCCTATTACACTCTCCGCCAGCTCCACAAATGTGAATTCAACACATTCTTACCATGACCATGTCTGCACCCTTGATCTCCCGAACAAATGTCATTTGTTTACCGTCCCACTTCTGGACCTGTACAAGTTTGCTTCCGTCCAGGGTTACGACATTCTAGAAAATAGTTAGGCTTGTGTTTATCTTAATGAGACATTTAAAGCACTGATTATTTTACTATATACTGCCTTGCGTATAAGTATTAATCCCCCTTGAACGTTTCCACATTTTATAGTGTTACAACCTGGAACTGTAAAGGATTTAATTGATATTATGTCATTAATCTACAGCCCCTTCTCTAATTAATGCCCACCTTACTCAGTCACTGACTTTTGCTGGATGATCTCCTCCAGGCAGTTTTGATTAGGATATATATATGCATGTATATATATATATATATATATATATATATATATATATATATATATATATATATATATCCTAAACCCTAATTGATACCCTGACTTGTTTTGATAGCTCCTTGGTATTAATGATGTTGTGGACTTCATTCAGTTAATTATGTGACTTCAACTGAACTGGTTTACAGACAGGATACCACTGAGCAGTCTTGGTGATGCTTGGATTTGAATTCACAACCTTTCAATCAGTAGGCCAATGGCTTAACCAATGACCTTTCACTGCCCCAATGAAGGGGAATACTTATGCAGTCACAACTATTGCATTTTTTAATTATAATAATTTAGCAAACTATATTGATTTTATTTTGTGATGATTCATGACATGTAATCCCAATTAAGTCCATTTCAGTTCCAGCTTGTAACACTTGAAAACATGGAAACGTTCAAGGGGGATTAATACTAATGCAAGGCAATGTTCAATTATTTATGGAAGTTTAATGAGTTAGAACTCCTATTCTTACGATGACAAATGCACAAAATGTCCCAGATAATTATCTAATGACTAACAATTTGGAAATTAATTTTTAATTTTTATTAAAAATTAATAATTAATTTTTACCTTGCATTGTCTGCCATCCTTGGTTACCTCGAAGTACTCTTCACCCAGCCTGAACCAGACTTCTCCAGTATGAATGCTGGTCTCTGTTTTAAGAACTATAAATTCCCCATCTTTGTAGAAGGTTAAAGTTGGTTTAATTATTTGGGCAACACTGATGTCTTCCTCTCCAACACCTGTGAAAGCAAGACGTAATTTTGCATAAAAGATTGTGGATGTGAAAACATTTGATAGGTTTAAGAATCCGATTTAAAAACCCTTACCAAGCGCTGTCAAGTATTCACTGAAATTTTCAGTTTTGACAAGCTTCCAACTTCCAAAGAATGCATCCATTCTGGTAATATATTGTTTTTGTTTTTTGTTTTTTTATCAAAGGGGCACAGAAATTATGTGACTATCCTCTGAATTGTTTTACACTCATGTCTGATTATTTATACAGTATGTAATGGGAGGAGACTGTACCTTTAATAGCTGTTAGATAATTCCCAGACACCTTATTTGTTTTTATTTGTTTTAAATTGTGTTAATTTAAATGGGTTGTTACAATTAAGTAATCTCAATGGGTGTGAACACGTACTGATGATCTCTGGAAAAAAAAATTGAGTAAAAAAATAACCACAAAATAAAATAATAGTAGAAAATAATCATGAGTATTTGGTCAAGTTGGCATACAGTACACCTCTATTCATAGTTTGTATTACACATGGATCTAATATGACTTCAATTATGACTTAATTAAGTGAAACCTTGAAGCCTTCTTTATCTTGTTAAAATTCCCATTTAGTCTATTTCTGTAGTAAAAAGGAAAAAAAAGAATGGCTGATATTTGATATGTGAACTACTAAACCACTAGTAATAGGCCTATGTCATCACATTCAATATTAATTTTGAGTGAAAGCTTAAACAACTTATACTCGCTTTCTGCTTGATACCTAACCTCTATCACAGGACTTCTCAAAATATTTACAGCCAGAGACACCTTTAACTGTAAAAAAAAAATAATAATAATCATGCCCCCCATACAGATTTATTTTACAGACAGTGAAAATAAATATAAACCATTTTTTATTAAAATTATCATTAGATTCCAGTTGACATTATTGATAAACATAATTACTTTGAGAATAGGGGGTGTGGTTTCCACCACTAGCAAAATTAGAAAATCATGGCCCCAGACCCCACTTTGAGAACCCTGAGCCCTGTATATATATGTATGTATATATATATATATATATATATATATATATATATATATATATATATATATATATATATATATATATATATATATATATATATATATATAGGGTTTTGATAAAACACACAGGGATTAAAGAGAAAACTCTCTGTGACCTTTTCACTGATATTAACTTATTACAAACAACAGTCTATGGCTACAGACTGTTTCGAAATACTGACAAGATATACAGTATGAAAGTGTGGCAGGTGATGGCATGATTGAGCATGAGTCTGCTTTGAGAAGGAGGTGTTTGATTGACCACTTAGACGAGGGGAGTCTGCTTTATGCCCAAGTTATTTTTTTCCCCAAGCAGCTCCTGGATATTGACACCACACAGTAGACTGTGGGTAAGAAAGCAGGTGAGGTTTTTTTTTTGTGCTTGTGGCCTTGGCACGGTAGTCAGACAGTAATGTGAAATGTTTTGCAAAACAAATAACCTTGGTGCTTTCCAGCTCACTTGCCATTTAATCTGCTTGGCCTCAGGTTTGCTCTGCTCACAACCACAGACAAACATAAATATCCATGAGACAACGGCTCAGATGTACCACTTTACTCATTACACCTCTAGGTTGTCACCAGTGCAGACCCATGCTAAACCATGACCCCTACCTGCTACAGAAAGCAAAGAATATAAAGAGCTGTCAGTAAGATTATTTCTAAAAGTCCTACTTAGGCTAAAAATTAACTCTTAAAAAAAATTATTAATTATGCTAAATTTGAGACCACAAATGTCTCAGAGCTGTCACTGCCAACAACAGCTTTGCAACAAAGTACTAATGTTGGTAATTTTGGGTGTCTGAATAAATTTTTTCCAATCAATTATGCTTATGAATACAAACATTTTTATTCATATTTATACAGTAAGTACACCCTCACTGTAAGTATTATTTTACATTGCATTCGATGTATCTGAATAAGGCCCAATGTTTTTCTTAATATGCTTTTAGCCCACATCCTGTCACAACTTCCACATGTTGTGCTGGGTACTAGAGCTTTGAAGTGGGTGTCGAGAAAGTAGGTCATGTTTAGGTGAAGCTCCATATCTATGCTTGTGTTGTTTTCCTGTAATTATGTCATCAGTGCTGATTTTTAGGGATTGCTTCGTGAATGGGTCCAGTTTGGCAGGCTGTTTTGAGTAGTCTATATAATGCCACAGCCCTGCATACAATTTATGCAGTACTGGTCCTGACAGAAATGATTGATCTGTCTTATCTATTTATCTATCTATACAAACTTGCACATAAAGTGGTGCTTATGCACACCAGCCTTCTTTGTGCTTTCTTGTATTTTCTAAGTCTGAAGAGATTACATTATATAAGAGGAACCACACTGAACAACAGTTCTTCCTTAATAAAAAATAAATTCTCCTTATTGTTTTCATTTTATATCTGCTCAGATGTGAGCACTTGGCAACCCATTGACCACGTACCATCATATTCAAGTTCAAAACCCTTCACCGCCTGGTTAAAGAAATGCTTTCACTATCTAGATGAAGCACATTATTCTTCCCTAGATTTTAATC